ATACGACATCAAGCTCGGATATAACCTCGGCTACAAACCAAAGACCTGAATCCAAGGCTGGCAGAGAAGTGGAGAACCATTCTGAACCTAGACGCCACAACCCCCATCGCCATCACATGGACCAAATACCTTCTCATCAGACCAAGTAGACTTGGCTAACAGCACATGCAGCCCTGCCAGTCAACCAATGGTTACACGAGAGAAGGAAACATTCTGATCCTGATAGCTCGGCATGCTGCTCAATGGGCAGCAACGACTCACCCGAAGACATCCCCCACTGCCTCCTCTTCTGCCCTGAAGCAATCTGGATATGGAGGAAGATCCGCAAGCTATGGTCGATCCTTTTCGCTGCCCCCCCCCCCCAAACATCCCCCCTATCTCTATTCTACTTCTAACTAACATCCCCAGCAACATCACAGGCAGCAGGGAAACATGGTTCACCCTACTCAGGAAGCTGGCGCTGTGGGTGATATGGAAACGCAGATGTACTCAGACAATCGAGGGAACAGAGTTGGCAAGAGAAGAAATGTGGTCTCTACTGCTGAGCATGGCAAAGACGGAAATCAGGAGCAGATGGCGGAGAATAGCAAACTCTACGGGACACAGACCAGAAAGACACGCAACCAAGAAACGGACTTTCATAAGGATCTGGTTGCTAAAAGGCAAGGTGGCACAGTAGACAGTAGACTGAGATGGAAAAAATGGCACCAGGCAGAAGCATGAAGACCACGAGGATACATGCCGGGCAGAAGGTTCTGAATGGTGATTAACAAAAAGAGGACCGGACACAGGGAAAGACAAGGACAAGCAACAGAACACAGAGCGGACCCCCCCCACTGTTCTCGTAGCACAGGGACTCCTTCGACAGGCTCTAAATAGAAGCCTGAGAGGAACAAATGGTCAGGGCGAGCTGACAGTCTATCCTCCTTAGAAGGAGCAATCAATGCTGATCAGGGGTCCTTCGGCCAGACGGAAGGAAGCATTGAGTGTGTAATATGATGTAATCTGTTTCTGACTTGCCGGGGGAATAGGAACCGGACTGACGCTCCCCAGAATGGATATGGAGCCAGGACCATAAGGACCTGATTTAAAAAAAAAAAAAAAAAAAAAAAAAAAGGTAAGATATACCCTTTTAATTTTTAAACCCTCTCTAGTCACTAACGCTTGAGCTTCCAGTCGCCTGGAAGTTCAGACTGTATCATCATCCCTAGAGTAACTTTATACCCCCCAAACACCCCTGGGTGAGCCACCACCACCGAAATGGAAGGTAAGGCCGGATTCTGACTGCTCAGGCCGAGCGCAGTCCTGGCCTGAAGTCAGTTTCTTTTTTATTTTTTTTTTTTTTTTTTAAACAGGCCCTTACGGTCCTGGCTCCGTTTCCATTCTGGGGAGCATCAGTCCGGTTCCTATTCCACCGGCAAGTCAGAATAAAAGAATACATCATAAATAATCACCCACGCTTCCTCCCGTTCGGCCGAAGGACCCCTGACCAGCATTGATTACTCCAAAAACTTGGAGGATTAACTGTCAGCTTGCCATACTTCATCCTTTCCTCTCAGGTGTCCTGCAAAAGCCTGTCGTATATGGCATGACTAAACAAGAAAGGATGTAGAAACTGCCATAGCTACCAATTTGGAGGATTTCAAGGAGGCAGTTTCTTGTTTAAGTTATGCCCTATACGACAGGTTTTTGCAGGACACCTAAGAAGAAAGGATGAGGTAAGGGAAGCTGGAGCAATCAATGCGGTTTAGGGTCTAGGGTTTAGGGTTTGGATAGATTCAGGATAAATAAGGTTTGGAAAAGCAGATTTTTCCAGGAGGATTTCATGAGGAAGTCAGTTTCTTTTTTTTGGGGATCCTTCCCTCTTTTTTGACCTGCCTGGTTTTCCCGCGTGATCCCCCCCGGCCCAGCTGGACAGGCGTACCTGGCGGGGCGACGGCCCAGCCGAGAAAAGAAATAAATAAAAATAAACATCGGCCCAGAAACTTGAGAACACCGTCCAACGGTATCAGCGAATTCACACAGACCCTGGAGATGGTTTTTTCCATATGTAACTAGTTCTGTAATTGACAGCATAGACAGAAAGCAGACACGATAGACTTTCGTTACTACCTAGAGCAGTCAATTATGGATGACAAGCTAACTAATCAAAATGGGAAAGAATCATGCAACTCAAATGAATGCATGACAGATGGAAAAGAAACAGTACTTACAAATCGAGCTTTTAGCTAGAACCTACCCCCTTTCTGTGTCTGTCTCAATTGTCCATCTCCCCGACATCACCCGACACAAAACAGAAAAGCAGCAGTGACTTACAGTGAACTCGGCGCACCCCTGTGCCCAAGCAGATAGTGACAGGCCATACCAGACCACACTCTTTATCTTCACATGTGGTGCGACTCGATTCCCCACCAGATGTTTATTTAAGACGGTCCGGTACTCGTCTTTTTTTCCTTCTTCTTCTTCTTTTTTTTAAAGAAAAAAAATAATTCCAAAGGCAAATACGAGGCCGGAGACCTCACAATCCACCCGGGGTTATCCTGGGAGCCTTAACCCAGTTTAGCTTACGAGCCTCCGCTCACGACAGAATCCTGTCTTCCCTTGCCTGTATGTTCTATCCCTAGCCCCGGCGACTGAAGGTCCGGTACTCGTCTTAATTCCACCATAGGGCACTTCAGTGGCACTGCCCTTCTCCCGCCCAATTGCGCCGGAAGAGTGTTGACTCTCAAGGTAGAGCGCTCTCTCACTCCTCACCGCCAGAGGACTCTCAAGAAAGACTCACTTCCTCACGGTAAAGAAGTGACACAGGACGGTAGATAAGGTAAGGGACAATGTACCTCATTTGTTGGCCCCAAACTGTTGCATACCGTAACGGTGCAGACCAGAACAAGAACCGACCTCTCTCACATAGTACAGGATAGCGCAGCGGAAAGCTAAAATACCAATGACCAGACCAATCAATGTTGCAATGCAGACTAAACATACATCATCATCATCGCATGGTGTGAAGGGACCTGGCGCTCACACAGGAAGAAATGGGCCAGTCCCAAACATACACAGACGAAGGGGAGGGGGATTAGACGAAGAAGATGGGAAGATGGGAATGTTGTCAACACCAAGTCTTCAGTACAGGTCCCAAATAATCCCTCGTTCAATGTCTCAATCCCAATGTCGAGTCTGAATCCAAATGTCATCAAGTCCCAAAGTCACCAATCTCTCTCTCTCTCTCTCTCTCTCTCTCTCTCTCTCTCTCTCTCTCTCT